GACCAATCCCGAAGAGCTATGGCCACACCAGCAGCGGCGTGTTCCTCCTCCAGAGGTTCGAAGAACCGGCATTTCACAGACGAAAGCTTCCAAAACATTGCCCAGTTTGAGGCCGGATATGCACAGCTTGTTTGGACCGTTTGGAGCAGGGGAAGATCTGGGTATACAACCTGTAAGTTTGCATTGTTATTTGTGTATTTATCAAACAAGACTGTTTAAATGTGTAAACTGTGTTGGACTGCTAAGCCATTGACACAGTGCTAACTGTGCTAACTAAGTTGCTAGAGTTTCCATATATCAACTCTAATATCAGCAGATGGCCTTGCATACATGTATCTCATAGCAGGAGAATGTCTGCATTCACACACACGGAATACTCATACAGTATACTGTACTGTGATTTACCGTACATTGTGACCGTACATATACTGCATGTAGCTAACGAGGCTAGCTGTATGCTAGCGCAAAACAATGTATTCATGCAAGTTACATTGTATGGTAGCAGAATACCCGTATACGATTGCAATTATAAACACGTTATTGCTAGCCTAATATGAACCACTAGCTTTTGTTCATAGTAGTTTTATTACACTGCATTATAGTTGCCTTTCCTCCAAGCTAACGTTCATATCGTGTTAGCTACCAAGGTAAACAAAGCTAGGTTAGCATATTAGCAGGCAAGCTGTTCATTACACAACTACTACTAACGAATCTAAAACAACTAAGTTTCTCTAATATTTTGTGATTTGCATTTGATTTCGTCCAGCCAGATCCTGGCGGACAATCCATGACGTGCTAAAAGGCACTTCTACTACTACTGAGGCGTCGTGCTAAAAGGCACCGCACCGACTGTGCGCAGGCAAGATGCGAGGAGGAGGAATGGATGATATACTGTGTATATATGTATATTTATGTTCATTTTGTACATTTCTAAAAATAAAGTTTAATGGAAATACTTAGTAGGCCTATCCTTTCTTCCCTGAATTCATATATAGCAAACCATGATTTGATTTCTCATCAAACAGTAGTAGTTTATAACGAGTAAAAATAACTTACTCTTTGTTATGAGCGGCTCGTAGGCCACAAAGACAAGGAGACATACACGAGTTTACAAAACCACGGCACATTTATTGTGGTGAATGCAGAGATAGGTGGTTGAGAGGATCGCAGAGTTAGTCTTCCTGCAGCCGCTTTGGAGAGAGACTGGGGCCGTAGTGTCCGGAGGTGTCCGTGATCGTGCTGATTAGCCTCTTCAGCTCCACCCCATCGTAAGACAAAGGCCCTGGGGCCGTCACACTCTTCTATAACAACAGTTAAAAATATATATGTATATAAAATATACGGCTGTGCCGACGCCATGATAAGACTGATGTTACGCTGAGAGCAGCCGGGGAAAGCACTGTTAGACATGGGCGCAGCCTCTCTGGTGGTTGACTAATCAGAACGAGTGGCCGAGCTGACCAATCGGAGCACACTAGGCTCACAGGGAGGGGGGGGCAAGAGCTCCAACGAGTCGTTTAGTGGAGAAAGTGAATACTGCTGAATACACATGCTTGACAGAGATGCTGTATGCGAAACCAATGTGAGTTTGGAAAATTGCACAGTATAAATCTATTGTAGTATACCTCAACAATGTAATTATGATCAGTGGAAATGACCATGACATGGGCCCTTTAAACATTTGGGACAATATATGACGCATTTTAGAAATGTTGCACATTATCTTTTTTAAATAATCCTCATTGAAGTAGTAAAGCAGCTCTGAGTTAGCATCGATGATAGAGATAATTAAAAACATGACTGTTGGTTAACATGAGATGTATTTATATGCTTTGAACAACCAAAAACTAATTCAAACATCCACTCTGCTCTGCTTCCAAACGTGACATTTTTAAATGCTTTTTAATGGCTAAAGTCATTTAGGATAAAATCAACATTTTTGTCCATATCCAAAACTTTAAATCTATTTTCTGCAAGCTTTGTCCCAGAAAGAACAGACTTAGTGTTCAGTTGCAGATGCATTAAGTCTGCCTCCATCTACCAGTACTGACACAATTCTCCAAGAGTCAAGCTTTGCCCAAACCTTCGACTAAAACTATTGATCAAGTATGAATTATTCTGCTCTCACGGAGGTCAAAGATCATCTCCAGGTTTAAATGTTCTTTTCTTCATCAACTCACAAATGAAATTCTCTGTGTGACATACTTGGTTCTGCAGCACCCTCAGGTGGTGGATGAGTGCCACTACACGCTGATGGAGGGGATCTCTAAACAGGGACCATTAGTTTGTGACCTGACTTAAAGAATGACATGTTATCATTACACGTGAGGGTCCATTTGTGATGCAAAATATATTCAAGGTAAAGTTTGATAACAAATGAACATTTAATTTAACATCAGTGATAAGAGAGCTGTGTGGTTTACCATTGAAATGTTGATACTATTGTTATTGGTTATTGGTATCAATCTTGATTAACAAAAATAAAACTAGGAGGAATCCAGAAGTATATCCAAACCCTTAATATCATTAAAAAGCAATATGTGAAATATTGACTTGTTAATGTTGTGACTTTTGTGAATGAATGTGAATAAGGTTCCTTTTATATAAAATATCTCAGAGAAAGGGAATCAAAACACATTTTATAATACACACATTCATCTTTATTGTTTTAAAATGTTGAAACCATCGACACAAGCAGAAACAGGTTGATGTTGAAACATGTCCTGAGAGCCAGAGAGCAGACTGAGAGCAGTGTGAGAGAGAAAGCAGAGTCCCAGTGAGTCAGCTCAGGACTGGGAACACTGGTCTCTCCTCAGTGTCTCTGAGAGCGCAGTCTGGGAGCCCTGGGTGGCCTCACAGGTCACAGAGCCCACCTTCCTCCACTGGTCTGCAGAGAACCTCAGGGTGCTGCTCCAGCTGTAGTGGGCGTCCTTCTCCAGCACCCCGGGGCTCCTGCTCTCCTCCCAGCTGCTGCTGCCGTCCACCTTCCAGGCCAGACTCCAGTCTGAGGGGAAGCCCTTGTTGGCCAGGCACATGAGCGTGGCCTTCCCCTGCTGCAGCTCTTCTGTGGAGGGGGCCAGCACCGTCAGGGTGGGACGGACATCACCTAGGAGACACCAATCAGATTAGAGGACAGGGAGCACACAGCTGTCAATCAACCAACAGACACTGGGACACCTTTACTGTGAGAGCGCTTGTCCTTTAAGGAGTTTCTGTCAGATGTTGGTTCTGCTCCATCAGTCTCTCACTCACACATTGTTTCACTTCCCTTTAAGAAGCCTCTCATGCAAATCAGCACAGAGACACTTCCTACAGAGTCACCTGAAATATGTCAGACTACAATAGAAGTACAACATTAGGACATATTTTAAGTAGTAGTTATCAAAATCATCCAAAACCTGAACTCTACAAACATTATTAAATTATTTAGTGGATAAATGAACAAATACAGGAAACGGAGCAATCAGCTGTGCTTAATGTGAATCTCAATCACTACCCAGTTTTACAAACTTTAAAATAATGTCTGAAAGAATTCAACACTTTTTTTAATATCCATCGTTATCTTTACCCCGTTCATCTGTATTTAAAAACTGTATCTGTAATTTATTTGAGAACAGAGAGGAGAACCGAGATAGACGATTTCAAATAAGTTAATGAAAAATGATCAGTTTCATCATTTCACATTTGAAGCTGTTTAAATGACAGCATGTTGGGAATAAAGACATTTCAAGAAAAGCTGCTCTGACTTGGTCTCAATGATGAAGAGAAATAAAGACATGAATACTAATACTATCTAAACATTACAATTAAAATAATATAAATCTATCTCTCAAACACTCTAACACAGAATTTAAAACGTCTCTTAACATCATATTTAGTTTTTGTGCAGAAACTTACTTCCAACATCCAGTCTGGTTCCTCCACCAAAAGTCCACCACAGTGATACAAAGTCATTGAGCCGCCGTACAAAAAGCTCTCACTGTAGAGAGACACGGCTCTCTGACTTTGACTCACTGAACTAAACCTACCAGCCCTCGAGAAGCTACTTCACCATTAAAGGTGGAAATAATGAATTATTCTGTGTTCAATGTTTCATAAAAACATTTAAAGGTCTTTTGCTGGAGTAAAGTTAGCCTCTTAGTTCAGAATATTTGATAAGTATGTATACAATGACATGGAGAGGTAACTATTTCTCCGTACGCTGAATAATAAGTACAACAGAAGAGAAATTGCTCTTATGAATTAACATTTGACTTACTTCCAAACTCCAGTCTGGTTCCTCCACCGAACGTGTACCACAGTGATACAAAGTCATTGAGCCGCCGTACAAAAACCTCTCACTGTAGAGAGACACGGCTCTCTGACTTTGACACAAACAAACTCACCAAACACATCCACAGTTTACCCACTTGATATAATTACTGCTTCAAATGTTTGAAACAGATTCACACACTATGGAAAAGTATCTACTGTTTCTCTATTGAACCTTTTAAACATTTAAAACAAATATCTACTTAGCTCTTCAGTTTTAATGAAGATTCTTCTTTTGAATACGAATTGTTCACAAAATATGTTTAGTTTCACGATTTTATCAACTTTTAAACATCAAAGTAATTGATTACTTAAATGAAACAATGAACTTCTAATACAAGCTATTCATGTTATACTTCCGAATGTGCATCATTTCCATAAATACATGTTTGCTTTTCCATCAGGATCAATAATAAATCTCCATTTTGTTTTTCCTAGGTGGTATTGATTATTTGGAGTTATGAATTTGAGCTTTTTAATAAAATGAACTACAAGAAAATGTGTCCATTGAACTTAAAGCCTCATACAAGTGAGCGCTGACCCATTCCTGATCAATCCTCTGACAGAGAGATGGATCCATTGATAAACAGCATCATCAGAGTAATCCAGGTCCCTGTTGGAGTCAGAGCATTTCCATAGAGAGACACTTTGCATCAGCAGCACCATGCTCCAGTGCTCTGGGACACTTTATAGTCCTGAGAGTTGAGCACTGGATGACTGACAGCTGTCCTTCATGACAACAGAAGCCACAGAAATCCTCCTCATCAAGAACATGACTCTGATCTGCGTCCTCATCTGGACTCTCCTCTGCTGCTGCTTCACAGGTAAAGTCCAGAGAATCAAACTCCTCTCCTCTGTGAACATCCGTCCCTCTGAAATGAAGCGGACAAAACCATGACGCTGCTTTATGTCTTTGTCTCTGTATCCTCAGAGTCCAGAGGCCAGTACACAGTGACTCAGTCTGGAGCAGTGAGCTCTGCTCCGGGACGCTCCGTCTCCATCACATGTACGACCAGTCAGAAGGTTTATAATGGGAACTATTTAGCCTGGTACCAACAGAGAGATGGAGGAACTCCTAAACTGCTTATGCACACTACTAGCACTCGAGTATCAGGGATTTCAGACCGTTTTACAGGCAGTGGATCAAACTCTGACTTCACTCTGACCATCAGTGGAGTCCAGACTGATGATGCAGCAGTTTACTACTGTCAGAGTTGGCATTACCCCAACAGTCAGCAAGTGTTCACACAGTGAAAAAGCGTCGTACAAAAACCTCCCTCAGTCAGACTGAACAGGAACTGAGCTGACTGCTGCAGCTGGAAGCTACACTTCACTTCACTGAACACACACACACACACACACACACACACACACACACACACACACACACACACACACACACACACACACACACACACACACACACACACACACACACACACACACACACACACACACACACACACACACACACACACACACACACACACACACACACACACACACACACACACACACACACACACACACACACACACACACACACACACACACACACACACACACACACACACACACACACACACACAGGAACATTGTAAATCTAAATGTATAAAAGCCACACTAAACTCATGGGTGCTCAGCTTCCTTTTGAACAGTGTTCACTTCTGTCTAACTGGAGTGACTCCCAAAGACCAAAAGTCCCAACTTCAAATAAAAAATCCTTGTTTTGAAATAACTCTGTCCCCAACAGTAGCACAAACTAAAATAACTGGAGAAATGTTCAAGTCCACAGGAACTGTCAAACTCAAAAGGTCTTTTAAAAGCGTGTGAATAATCCAGTAAACAGAGTAAGTACCTGGGACTGCACTTAGACAACGGACTGAAGTGGGAGATCAACACTGACGTTATGTACAAGAAGGGGAGGAGCCGACTCTATTTTCTGAGGAAGCTGAGATCCTTCCACGTGTGCAGCAAGATGTTGGAGATCTTCTACCAGTCTGTTGTAGACGCCAACAGACGACGCCATAGCCCTCACCCTCCACACTGCCCTCTCACACCTGGACCCGAAGAACAGGAACACATATGTGAGAATGCTGTTCATTGACTACAGTTCAGCATTCAACACCATTGTGCCCTCCAAGCTGGCCATCAAGCTCAGAGACCTCGGGCTCAACAGCGCCCTCTGCGACTGGATCCTGAACTTCCTGACGGGCAGACCCCAGGCAGTGCGGGTGGGAAACATCACATCCTCCACCCTGATTCTTAACACCGGTGCCCCTCAAGGCTGCGTGCTCAGCCCTCTCCTCTACTCCCTGTTCACCCACGACTGCGTGGCCACACACAGCTCCAACACCATCGTGAAGTTTGCTGATGACACGACCGTCATCGGCCAGATCACAGACGATGACGAGACGGCATACAGAGAGGAGGTCGAAAACCTGACATCTTGGTGCCAGGAGAACAACCTCCATCTCAACATCAGCAAAACAAAGGAGCTGATTGTGGATTACAGGAAGCAGCAGGGAGAGGGACACGCCCCCATCGCCATCAATGGGACTACGGTGGAGAGAGTCAAAAGCTTCAGGTTCCTTGGGGTCCACATCACTGAGGACCTGACATGGTCTCTTCACACCACCACCATCACCAAGAAAGCTCGACAGCGGCTCTTCTTCCTCCGCAGGCTGAGGAGGTTCAAAATGGATTCCAGGATACTCTGCAACTTCTACAGGTGCACGATAGAGAGTATCCTCACTGGCAGCATGACGGCCTGGTACGGCAGCTGCACCGACCTCGATCGTAAGGCTTTACAGAGGGTGGTGAAAACTGCACAGCACATCACCAGGACGGAGCTGCCATCCATGGAGGACCTTTACTCCCAGCGGCTCAGGAAGAAATCACTACGGATTATCAAAGACCCCCATCACCCCAGCCACAAACTGTTCTTTCTGTTGCCGTCTGGCAGACGTTACCGCAGCATCCGGGCAAGGACAAGAAGATTCGGAGACAGTTTCTTCCCGCGGGCAGTGAGACTGTTAAACAATTGAACTGTTGAAACAACATCAAACATTCAACTGCTACTCAGTAGTATGTATCTAATACCTAATATATATATATCATTCCAATAACTTGTATATAGACTCATACTGCACTATTCCACATCATAACTTTATTTCATTTTTATAACTATTATTATTTTTGTATTGCTCTTGCTCTTATTGTTATTATGTTATGTTATTATGTTGCATTGTTGGAGAAGCCTGTGACATAAGATTTTCAACTGCATAATTACTCTGTAGCTATGTCAGATTGACAATAAAGAACCTTGAACCTTGAACCTTGAACCTTGTGGCCAGTGCACTCTTCTTTGCTGCGGTCTGCTGGGGGGGGGGGGGGCAGCATCAGAGCCGGTGACACCAGCAGACTCAATAAACTGATCAGGAAAGCTGGCTCTATCGTCGGTGTGAAACTGGACAGTTCTGAAGTTGTGGTGGAGAGCAGGACCCTTAACAAACGGTTGTCCATCTTGGATAACCCCGCCCACCCTCTCCACCTGCAGCTCGACAGGCAGGAGCTCCTTCTCCAACCGACTGCTCCGCTGTCACACAGAGAGGGAAAGGAAACCATTCCTGCCTTCTGCAGTAACACTTTTCAACGCCTCACCTCTGGCTGCAGAGGACTCACTGCTGCATAGTTGAGCTCTCCTTCCTGATAACAACTTGCAATTTTCTGAATATTTGAGTGGGAATGCTGATACAGCATTCCAACTATATGTTATGCTATGGACAAACGAGTTATTATTATTCCGTCAAATTATTTTGTCCGTCTTCTCCTCCCACATTCAACATCGCAGAAACTCCGTTTTTAACATCAAAACGTTCAGCTCGGTCGGGAATCGACTGCTATTACTTTTATCATTCATAACTTTCATAATTCCAGAGATACATCCCATAATTTATCAAATTTGTAACATTGAAGTCAATGGAGATATTCTTCAGACTTCAACAAATCTTCATGCGACTTCAACTGCTAACTGTTCATTCATATTTTCACTCAGAAACCTCATTCCAACTTTAAAATGTTACACATCTTTCTGACATTATTCGTGTAACACCACTTTTAAATCTGATTCTTACTTTTAGAGATATTAAACATTGTTCAGACCTTGTTAAAGAGGTTTTCTTCAGATTTTAACATTAACTAGAGTGCGTGATGTCACAGCTATAGGGTAAGAAATCTTGAAATGTGCCTTCATATTTTTTTTTAAAACTGCCATAATTCCCAAACCCTACATTCTTGAGACATAATTTGTCATGACAAACGCAGGAAAACATCTCGTAGCTTGAAAAATTACAAATAATTAAGCAAAATAATTAAGCAAAATGCCTCTTGAGGGCATGAAGTGACAAAAACGTTCAACATGTCTCCATTAAAGCCCATTGTAATTTCAGGCAGATATTTCCTCACAGCAGCAGCCGCACACCTTTAGTTAAACTGCCAAAAAGGCCACATTATTAACCCGAAAGTACACAAAAATTACACTTCAGATACTCAACTTCCTTGACATGCTTCACGTTTTGAAATTTCACAGATATCTGTTATCGTTCTTCCACAAAACGTTCACATGTAAGAGGTTAATCTGTCATTCAGAACAATGCAAACCTTTGATCTCTTCATAGCTCGTTAGCTCAACTATAAACACCTGTGTAATGGAACACGATGATGTCATCACTCCAACAGCAGTCAGTTCTAACTGTTTCTCTCTCTCTCTCTCTCTCTCTCTCTCTCTCTCTCTCTCTCTCTCTCTCTCTCTCTCTCTCTCTCTCTCTCTCTCTCTCTCTCTCTCTCTCGTCCATGCCTCAACAGCTCTACGCCAAATCTGAAATCTCACCATATGCCGTTTCCATGGAAACGCATCCCTCGCCATAAAACACGATGTCCCTTTAACTCCTATGAAAATGTTCAAAAAGTGCTCAAAATTCACATGTGTGCTAACAGTCCAGCCGTGAAGACATATACGAGACAGTTTTGAGATTTCTTCAAATGCCGTTGCCATGGCAACACAATGCTCGCCATGAAACACGATGTCGCTGTAACTCCAATGGACACGGTCCGATCGTCCCCAAACTTCGCTTGTATATCACCGGTCCATGCCTCAACAGCTCTACGCCAAATCTGAGATCTCACCATAGTCTGTTTCCATGGAAACTCATCCCTCGCCATAAAACACAATGTTGTCGTGATACCTATGCAAATGATCCAAACACCACCAGAGTTCAGATGACAGTTAATGGTCCAGCCCTCAACATGTCTATATACCATTAGTGAGTTTTCCTCAAAAGCTGTTGCCATGGCAATGCATCCCTTGCAATAAAACACGATATTGCTATAACTCCTATGAAAATGGTCAAAAAGTGCTAAAACTTCACATGTGTGTTAAAACAGTCCAGCCGTGAAGACATCTACGGGACAGTTTTGAGATTTCTTCAAATGCCGTTGCCATGGCGACAGACCACTCGCCATGAAACACGATGTCGCTGTAAGTCCAATCGACACTGTCTAATCGTCCCCCAATCTTCACTTGTATATCACCGGTCCATGCCTCAACAGCTCTACGCCAAATCTGAGATCTCACTATACATGTATGCCGTTTCCCTCGCCATAAAACATGATGTCGCTATAACTCCTATGAAAATGTTCAAAAAGTGCTCAAACTTCACATATGTGCTAACAGTCCAGCCGTGAAGACATCTACGGGACATGCCGTTGCCATGGCAACACAATGCCCGCCATGAAACACGGTTTTCTCATGACTTCAGTGAAAATGCTCCAAATAGCCCAAAACATCACAGGTTTGGTAACACAGCCATCAACGCATCTAAGCATATTATGGGATGTCATCAAATGCCGTTGGCATGGCGACAGATCATTCGCCATCAAGTTAGTTCAAAAGTTTGCATTTCAAATATTCTGCTGCTTTTCCAAGCGTTTTTACTTTCTTTTCTTCTCTCATCACACATTCAAGCCCCCAGTGTTCATGTATCATTTCAATCTAAATTCTTCACTTTCTTCTTACACATTACATTTCAGCATAGCAGTTTAGCGTCAGCTTTTCAGCATAAAGCATTCCCACTAGCAATTTCTTCAGGAATTGCATTCTCTAGTTGTAAATGATATGCTCCCATATGTATATGCAGTATAGTATAAGCCTGTAAGCGATATATTTTTATTCATTTTCATTTTACTTTTAATTGTTAACTCTATTCCACTTTTTAAGTATTTGTATTTTAATGTTGAAAACACTGGTCCTGTAACAAAATGATTTCCCACATTGGGATTAATAAAGTATCTATCTATCTATCTATGTATCTTAATCCAATGTCATTGACATAAATGCACCAAGAGATCACAAAGATCCAAAAAGGATTTGACTCCCCAGCAGTCGAGGAGGGAGAATGATTCGGCTCTGGCTGGACTTTCTGCTCCGTCTTTATCGTCCTCTCCACTGGTCTCAATGTTCTTCAGCGAGTCGAGGAAGCACCACATAAAGAGCTGAGTGCTTCCTGAATTCCCTCTGACAAGCTGCCATGCTTCCCTCCTCCTCTATCTCCACCAAAAGCATCTGAAAACTGAAATACTAGAGCTTTAGGAAGAAAGATCAGAGTCTCAAGCCTCTTCTCAGAGTAACACCGCTGTAAAGCATCTTCTGCACCAATGATCTTCCATTACATCCATCAAGATAATCAGGATGTACTGTTATATGTGACAAAGAAACATATGAGCCATTTCATTCTTATAAAAGGCTTCCACACAACTAAGGTGCTAAATAGGTCCTTGTTTTCATATAATATCAGTTTTGAATCAATCAGCAACAAATCGTTGAATTGATTGATTCTGCAAACAGACAGCAGAGACAGAGACTGTGGTACCCTCTCTCTGGTCTCAAGTTCTTTGGTGGAGCTTTACTGAGTCCATTAAATACTATTTAAGGTACATCTCAATTTAGATTCTTGTTATATAACTTTATGCAGATGATATCCTGCTTTTTATTTCTTATCCTGGATTTCTTATTCTAATTAAGAATGTTTGATTAAAGTAAAGGTTAACAACACACGGACATCACACATGGATTTACTTAAACATCAGTGATAAAAGAGAGCTGTGTGGTTTACCATTGAAATGTTGATACTATTGATATTGGTACAAATCTTGATTAACAAAAATAAAACTAGGAGGAATCCAAACCCTTAATTTCATTAAAAAGAAATATGTGAAATATTGACTTGTTAATGTTGTGACTTTTGTGAATGAATGTGAATAAGGTTCCTTTTATATATAATATCTCAGAGAAAGGGAATCAAAACTCATTTTATAATACACACATTCATCTTTATTGTTTTAAAATGTTGAAACCATCGACACAAGCAGAAACAGGTTGATGTTGAAACATGTCCTGAGAGCCAGAGAGCAGACTGAGAGCAGTGTGAGAGAGAAAGCAGAGTCCCAGTGAGTCAGCTCAGGACTGGGAACACTGGTCTCTCCTCAGTGTCTCTGAGAGCGCAGTCTGGGAGCCCTGGGTGGCCTCACAGGTCACAGAGCCCACCTTCCTCCACTGGTCTGCAGAGAACCTCAGGGTGCTGCTCCAGCTGTAGTGGGCGTCCTTCTCCAGCACCCCGGGGCTCCTGCTCTCCTCCCAGCTGCTGCTGCCGTCCACCTTCCAGGCCAGACTCCAGTCTGAGGGGAAGCCCTTGTTGGCCAGGCACATGAGCGTGGCCTTCCCCTGCTGCAGCTCTTCTGTGGAGGGGGCCAGCACCGTCAGGGTGGGACGGACATCACCTAGGAGACACCAATCAGATTAGAGGACAGGGAGCACACAGCTGTCAATCAACCAGCAGACACTGGGACACCTTTACTGTGAGAGCGCTTGTCCTTTAAGGAGTTTCTGTCAGATGTTGGTTCTGCTCCATCAGTCTCTCACTCACACATTGTTTCACTTCCCTTTAAGAAGCCTCTCATGCAAATCAGCACAGAGACACTTCCTACAGAGTCACCTGAAATATGTCAGACTACAATAGAAATAAAGTACAACATTAGGACATATTTTAAGTAGTAGTTATCAAAATCATCCAAAACCTGAACTCTACAAACATTATTAAATTATTTAGTGGATAAATGAACAAATACAGGAAACGGAGCAATCAGCTGTGCTTAATGTGAATCTCAATCACTACCCAGTTTTACAAACTTTAAAATAATGTCTGAAAGAATTCAACACATTTTTTAATATCCATCGTTATCTTTACTCCGTTCAACTGTATTTAAAAACTGTATCTGTAATTTATTTGAGAACAGAGAGGAGAACCGAGATAGACGATTTCAAATAAATTAATGAAAAATGATACATTTCATCATTTCACATTTGAAGCTGTTTAAATGACAGCATGTTGGGAATAAAGACATTTCAAGAAAAGCTGCTCTGACTTGGTCTCAATGAAGAAGAGAAATAAAGACATGAATACTAATACTATCTAAACATTACAATTAAAATAATATAAATCTATCTCTCAAAGACTCTAACACAGAATTTAAAACGTCTCTTAACATCATATTTAGTTTTTGTGCAGAAACTTACTTCCAACATCCAGTCTGGTTCCTCCACCAAAAGTCCACCACAGTGATACAAAGTCATTGAGCCGCCGTACAAAAAGCTCTCACTGTAGAGAGACAGGGCTCTCTGACTTTGACTCACTGAACTAAACCTACCAGCCCTCGAGAAGCTACTTCACCATTAAAGGTGGAAATAATGAATTATTCTGTGTTCAAAGTTCCATAAAAACATTTAAAGGTCTTTTGCTGGAGTAAAGTTAGCCTCTTAGTTCAGAATATTTGATAAGTATGTATACAATGACATGGAGAGGTAACTATTTCTCCGTACGCTGAATAATAAGTACAACAAAAGAGAAATTGCTCTTATGAATTAACATTTGACTTACTTCCAAACTCCAGTCTGGTTCCTCCACCGAACGTGTACCACAGTGATACAAAGTCATTGAGCCGCCGTACAAAAACCTCTCACTGTAGAGAGACACGGCTCTCTGACTTTGACACAAACAAACTCACTAAACACATCCACGGTTTACCCACTTGATATAATTACTGCTTCAAATGTTTGAAACAGATTCACACACTATGGAAAAGTATCTACTGTTTCTCTATTGAACCTTTTAAACATTTAAAACCAATATCTACTTATCTCTTCAGTTTTAATGAAGATTCTTCTTTTGAAAAACGAATTGTTCACAAAATATGTTTAGTTTCATGATTTTATCAACTTTTAAACATCAAAGTAATTGATTACTTAAATGAAACAATGAACGTCTAATAAAAGCTATACATGTTATTCTTCTGAATGTGCCTCATTTCCATAAATACATGTTTGCTTTTCCATCAGGATCAATAATAAATCTCCATTTTGTTTTTCCTAGGTGGTATTGATTATTTGGAGTTATGAATTTGAGCTTTTTAATAAAATGAACTACAAGAAAATGTGTCCATTGAACTTAAAGCCTCATACAAGTGAGCGCTGACCCATTCCTGATCAATCCTCTGACAGAGAGATGGATCCATTGATAAACAGCATCATCAGAGTAATCCAGGACCCTGTTGGAGTCAGAGCATTTCCATAGAGAGACACTTTGCATCAGCAGCACCATGCTCCAGTGCTCTGGGACACTTTATAGTCCTGAGAGTTGAGCACTGGATGACTGACAGCTGTCCTTCATGACAACAGAAGCCACAGAAATCCTCCTCATCAAGAACATGACTCTGATCTGCGTCCTCATCTGGACTCTCCTCTGCTGCTGCTTCACAGGTAAAGTCCAGAGAATCAAACTCCTCTCCTCTGTGAACATCCGTCCCTCTGAAATGAAGCGGACAAAACCATGACGCTGCTTTATGTCTTTGTCTCTGTATCCTCAGAGTCCAGAGGCCAGGTCACAGTGACTCAGTCTGGAGCAGTGAGCTCTGCTCCGGGACGCTCCGTCTCCATCACATGTACGACCAGTCAGAATGTTAATGGGAACTATTTAGCCTGGTACCAACAGAGAGATGGAGGAACTCCTAAACTGCTCATTCACACTACTAGCAATCGAGTATCAGGGATTTCAGACCGTTTTACAGGCAGTGGATCAAACTCTGACTTCACTCTGACCATCAGTGGAGTCCAGACTGATGATACAGCAGTTTACTACTGTCAGAGTTACCATTACCTCAACAGTCAGCATGTGTTCACACAGTGAAAAAGCGTCGTACAAAAACCTCCCTCAGTCAGACTGAACAGGAACTGAGCTGACTGCTGCAGCTGGAAGCTACACTTCACTGAGGACACACACACACACACACACACACACACACACACACACACACACACACACACACACACACACACACACACACACACACACACACACACACACACACACACACACACACACACACACACACACACACACACACACACACACACATATATCGGGGCAAAGCAGCACAGAACACTTAGGGGAACACATAGCACCTCCTTCTCCACACGGCTAAGCTGCCAATAAAAGCTGAAACAGAGCAATATTTGGCAATTTGTTTGGCTTTTCTCTTTGACATTCCAGCAATTCTCAGACCAATCATGGTGTATTTATATACATGGCCAAGACTTCCGAATATGAGTATGCTATATCTACACTTGTACCCAAAGCTGGTTATTACATTACATGACATGTCACTTGTTAGACGCTTTTATCCAAAGCGACTTACATACTCAATACTGTGGACAATCCCCACAGGAGCAATTTGGGGTGAAGTGTCTCAGGGACACAACGACATGCTGACTGCAGTGGGGTTTGAAATAAAAAATCCTTGTTTTGAAATAACTCTGAGATGTATCCATAGATCTATAGTCCCTAATGTTGCTCTCAAAGTGCACCAGATTTATGCATTTAACTTCAACATTTAAAACAAATCTTCCCGGGGGAGCATGCCCCCGGACCCCCCTAGAGGAGGTGAGGACCCCCCTAGAGGATGTTAGGTCCACGGTGTTTACATGCTTATTTATACAATATGTGTGCTTATGCTAACATCATAAGACAAAAAATGGTTCCATGTTGTGTGAAGTGAGAACGCACTAGAGTGAGGGGGGCCCCCAAGCCAAAGCTCGCTTAGGGCCCCCAAAAGACAAGGGCCGGCCCTGCCCACACCCCCTGTCAAATTGTCCCACCCACATTGAGGATGCTTCCTACGCCCATGCTTAAATATATATATATATTTATCGTAATTCAAATATGAACGTCAAAAGTCGGAATATGCCAATCTTTTTTTCTTATTATCTTATTTGCTAAACGTTCTTGTATAGTAATATGCATGTGTTGTATTATTCTACGACGACTATTTATTAATGTTCAGCAATAACCACGTTTTCCCAGTGGGACTGACGTTCTTAGGTGGGGTGATTCGCTTTGAACAGGAATTTTGTTAGCCAGTGTTCTTGTTTTCCATGTGCTCAATAAAGTTTCTTTAAAAAAAATTCTAAAGAATTCAACCAATCAGAAGTGGACCCACTTGTCTTTTCATCCAATCAGATTCCGCAGCAATTGCGATAAATAGCCCCGCCTAGAAAAATACACCTGTTACTTCTTACCCTGGACTCATACAGGCCCTGCCGTGAGAGATAACTTTGCCTTTTCCTCTTCTTTATCGAAGCCCTCTGTCTTCACATCTTCAGAAAAATGGTGAGTACGATAGTACAGCTTTTCTCCACGTAGAGGATGTGTGTTTAACCAAATGCAGCGCTCTGAACGTATGTCATCATGCGAAAACGTAACCAGCTTAACGTTTTTTAACCGCTTACTATTTAAAGAAGACTCATCATTTTTATAGTGAAACAAAAATGTTACGGTGTAAACTGTTAAATCAAGCTTCGTCATTAATAAGTCGTTTTAACCGTGGTGTTGGTAAATTTAAGTGTAACTCGACGGCACAGTCAAGATGTTGAAGTGACGCATTTACAATCGGCGCGAATTGTTGGAAATAAATATACTTCCTGTCTCATTAGTGGCCAGGTTTAATGGTTTCATATTTAAAACATGATATGAACACAGATAAAACATTTTTTTCCGAATTTCAGTGAACCAGGGCGTTTTTACAACGTAGGCTACGTCTGAAATGATTACATCAAAATATATTCTTTCATTACATAGACTGGGTCAAGTGGATTTTATTTATTGACGTGCTTTGCAAATGCATTTTTCCGGCTTAACCTGGAGTAATTATTGTATTACGAAAAACAAGATAAGGACTTTGTGTTCAAATTTGTACTTTATTTAGGTCGAATTAGATGATTATTATGTGTGTTTACGTGCTGGCCTGCCACGCCACTAGTCTCCTAAAGGGGTGTGGCAGTGGCGCAATCCGTGTGACGCAGTTGCAGAAAATGTAAACGCGTAGTCTCCTCTCTTAACACTGGCCCACATTCACGTCCAATCGTGCCAACTGTCTGCCAACAATTGCGTCATTGAGCTTTCGGTTGTTCCACGTATAAACAGTATTTAGCCTCTTTTTATAATTGTAACTCTTTCTGTTCAGATGACAAATGTGTGCGTCAGGTGACTTAAATCATGATATGATGTTTGGTTCTTATTAAAATAGCCTTTTTCTCTAGAGCAGTCCTTCCACATGTGATGATATGCCACTAGAATGTATGTTACACTGTTTTTGCACAAGAATCAGCCAACTAGGCTTCCTTTTTTATGATAGTTTCTTAACAACCTTTTTTCCCTTTTACAGCGCGAGTGCCTCTCAATCCACGTTGGTCAGGCTGGGGTGCAGATTGGCAATTCCTGCTGGGAGCTTTACTGCCTGGAACATGGGATCCAGCCGGACGGCAGGAAGCCTGGTGACCAGAACATCTCAGGAGGAGGGGACGATTCCTTAAGCACCTTCTTCATGGAGACTGGAGCTGGAAAGCACGTCCCCAGAGCAGTGTTTGTTGACCTGGAGCCCACTGTCATCGGTACATTCTCATTCATTATAAATGATAAAAGTATCATAAATGCCTTTTCCCCCTCTGTCATTCAAAACCTTCAATAATCTAATGCTCATTACCCTTAGATGAGGTGCGCAAGGGGACTTACCGCCAGCTGTTTCACCCTGAGCAGCTGATCACTGGCAAGGAGGATGCTGCCAACAACTACGCCCGAGGACACTACACCATCGGCAAGGAGGTCATCGACCTGGTGATGGACAGAATCCGAAAGCTGGTCAGTACATTTAGAACAAGTCAATTTTTCTGAAGAGTATTAAATGAAAATGAATCAGTTTATTGCTAAGTAGGTTTTCACATACAAGGAGTATGCAATCATATTGTGGTGAATGGCAAAAATAAGTATTGCAAAAGCTAAGTGTCATAACTAATAATAAATATGTGAAGTATATGTTTTAAAATGTAGAGCTGTACAGTGTTTTAAACAAACACAAGACATAACAATCTGGTATCACTCTTTCAAAGTGAGCATATTTCCCTGATTCTGGCCCACTTGCATCGGCTTCCTCCACCCTGCAGAATTCAGTTTAAGATCCTCCTGATCGCATTCAAAGCCCTCCATGGTATGGCACCCTCTTATCTCTGATCTGTTTTCATTGAATCTATATGTTTACATGCTGTGCACTAATACGCTTTTTTATCCTTAGCTGTGAACCCTTGGCACTGCTGTCTTTGTATTATATAAATACGTTTAATATTATTTCATGATTTTCTCTCTTTCTTTCAGTCCGACCAGTGCACCGGTCTTCAGGGTTTCCTGGTGTTCCACAGCTTCGGAGGGGGCACTGGCTCTGGTTTCACCTCCCTGCTGATGGAGCGTCTGTCCGTCGACTACGGCAAGAAGTCCAAACTGGAGTTCTCCGTCTACCCAGCTCCCCAGGTGTCCACCGCTGTGGTGGAGCCCTACAACGCCATCCTGACCACCCACACCACCCTGGAGCACTCTGACTGTGCCTTCATGGTTGATAATGAGGCCATTTATGATATCTGCTGTAGAAAGCTGGATATCGAGCGTCCCTCTTACACAAACCTGAACAGGTTAATGAGTCAAATTGTGTCCTCCATCACTGCCTCCCTTCGTTTTGATGGTGCCCTCAATGTTGATCTGACAGAGTTCCAGACCAACTTGGTGCCCTACCCCCGTATCCACTTCCCTCTGGCCACCTATGCCCCTGTTATTTCTGCAGAGAAAGCTTACCATGAGCAGCTCTCGGTGGCAGAAATCACTAATTCCTGCTTCGAGCCAGCCAATCAGTTGGTGAAATGCGACCCACGCCACGGTAAATACATGGCCTGCTGCCTTTTGTATCGTGGTGATGTCGTTCCCAAAGATGTGAACGCTGCCATTGCCACCATCAAAAGCAAGCGCTCCATCCAGTTTGTGGACTGGTGCCCCACTGGTTTCAAGGTGGGCATCAACTACCAGCCGCCCACTGTAGTTCCTGGTGGAGACCTGGCCAAGGTCCAGAGGGCTGTGTGCATGCTGAGCAACACCACTGCTATTGCAGAGGCCTGGGCTCGGCTGGACCACAAGTTTGATCTGATGTACGCTAAGCGTGCCTTTGTGCACTGGTATGTGGGTGAGGGTATGGAGGAGGGAGAGTTCTCTGAGGCCAGAGAGGACATGGCCGCTCTGGAGAAAGATTACGAGGAGGTTGGAGCTGATAGCCTGGAAGATGAGGATGAGGAAGGAGAGGAGTATTAGAAAGCTTTATTGATCTGTTTTATTAATGTCAAGAAAATAAAGTTGTTCATTGACTGAACCTATGCTTTCCTCTCGTCTATAAATACACTGTTAAACATGACCTATGTGCCTAGATGGGTTGTATGTATTCACTTGCTCAGTTCAATCAAACATGTTTTCACAGAGATGCTATTGCTCAATTCAGTCACTTGGAGGCAGTGGTGTTTAACATGTATATATCTGTTCTCTGAACAGACCAGGCATGGCAATCTAGTTAAATGCTAGATTAATCACTACATTATTTCTCAACATCAGATGACTCAAGAGTACCATTTGCATATCTTACATTTACTTATTTAAGATTGGATTTGTGCTTTACGTGACAAGAACAGAGTCCTAACCCCGGCCTGATCTCAAATAGGGTGTGGTATTCACTCTGGCCCAAGGGAGGGATAGTAGTGAGGCGGGGGGGGTGGGGCTCTCATGCTGGCAGACAGGTGGTGTTTAAGAAGACTTAGTTCTGCTGTTCCCAGACTGGAACATGAATGAAACTGAAAGCAATACATTAGGAACCATGTAAAGCCAAATAAATGCTTTTTCTTGACATTAAGCAGATATTTAATGTCATTAAAACGGAAACAAAATGGATTCTACAATACACTGACCTAAATGAATACTTTCCTATTGCACTTTCAATTGCCTCTTTGGTAGTTGATGGATTTTGTACATTTATGATCAGTTATTGGGCAGAAACGCATGCCAAATAAGAAATGTATTAAAGCTAACTTAATGTAAAATGCCACTTTATGCGTTAGAACAACTCCCAACCAGTTTGTTCATTTGCAAAGGAATTTAATGTTAAAACCGGTTCTCAAAAGCAATGTGTTAAATGGCTCAAAGATAATCTAGCATATCTGGAGGGTGCTCTTCTCACCGTAACACATGGAGTTAAGAACCATTCAATATGTTTTTCTCCATCTCACAATCATGAGGTAATTGCACTGTTTCGGAAATAAATGAATTTAGCTTTGCATAACTGCCTCTGACATAACAAATCATACAACAGAATATTTAGAATGCTGAAAAGATGTGCACTTCAAAATGATACAAAAATACAGACTCATACACACACGGTGCCCTCATGCGTACACAAGTTGACGTATTTGGCTCTACTAAAAGGCCCTGAAAATAAGGCATTGTGAATCAGAACGGACGGTTTACTACACTAAAACATACATCAAGTTGTTCACAGGCCAAAACATCCCCTTCTGTTGTGTATCGATGTAAATTGAGGAACTTACATCATACAGTGATTGTTTTCTTTATCAACATAAATCCTTTCTCTTGTTTGCTCATTCTATTGCAAAACATACACAGCTCTCATTTAAAACCCAACAGGAACATACAGTACTGTGACACTCATAAGCTTCCTATTGCCCCCTTTTCTACAGCTCCCAAAGCAAAGCAGCAAATTGACAATAATGCATATAAATCCCAGTGAAAAGAGAAAGTTCCACAGTAGTACACCACAGTCTCAAATGCAATTAGCTGAAATGTAACTGGACATGCTTTGGAGTCTGAAGAGACAGAGCAGCAGCAAGATGAAAACAAAAAGACTGGCTTAATGTTGGATTGCAGGTTTCTGTTGAAACTTGCAGATATTAAAACAATAATACAGTAATCTTCACACGTCTGCTGCAGTGTCTCAATCAAGTTTAAGGCACAGTGGAGAGAATATTCAGTTTGTATGTTAGTAACATTCTTCATAATACAAACACGTCTTGTGACAAAGTGTAATGATCTTTCAGGTCTAATCAGCCAGTGTGTGCCAATGAAGGGTTCAAAATCCTTTTCTTTTGCAAAAATGTGACTTCTTTAGCGCTGCTTCTCCAGTGTAAGCACGGAGGACATACTCTACCATCCAGCCCCGACTTTAACATGCAAACATCATCATATTCAGACGTTCTGAATCAGGTTCATGTCCTTCAGTTTGTCAATCCTCTGGAAAGAGAGGAGCTTCACATAGCCTCACAGTCACACCAGCAAAAAACCTTTAGAAAAGCTGCGGCGATCTGCGTGAGGCTTCTTCTTCTTCTTTTCTTATCTCTGGTCCTAACTGAGGAGGAGGCGTCTCTCTCCAACACTTCTGCAGAGTGGTGACCTGCAGATTAAAACACAATTTGTATTTTAGTAGACTCCCTATTCCCTCAAGTTTGTATACTGTGTTATTTTAATCACATTTGATTTGTTTATGAATGACCTGAGGTGGACCATGTCTCATGACAAAATGTGTACGAAGAGAATGGCCAGGCCAATGTTGAGAAGGATGACCATGCATATCATTATGGTGTTTGGGCCCTTAAAGAGAAGTAAACATGAGACATGAGGGCAGGGAAGGCAGTTTACCATCTTGTGAATGTGTAGAAACTTGAACAGTTTGGAACAATTATTACTCAAGAAATATTTGTGGGTATTTCTTTGTACAAAACATTTGTAGTATTATGGGAAACCAACAGACATCAATGTTCAATTGATGGTCGAAGCTTGTTCCTTTTTAAGTCTTTAGTTGTTAACTTATCTATTTTTAAGACTGCTGTAATTATATTTCTGAATCACTCTTAAAGGTGGGGTAGGTAATTCACTTCAGAAACACTTGTTATATTCCATGGAATGCTCTTAACATCCCGATAGCAATGAATACATTAAATGCTTTGACAATAAATACATTAAAACATTTCATCTGTGGAAGCCGTGGCGCTGTAAAAAGCACGACCAATCATCTGAGCCGGCCCGGCTAAAATAACTGGATGGCCTACCTGCCTGTCAGCCTTCCATCTGTGCTCAAACTTATCTCGTGCCCTCATTGGTCATGTGCGCGTTCGTGTGTGTTGGAGGAGGGGCTCTGTAAGGAAGTCTGAAGGAAGGGGCAGATTTTTTTCAGCTGCGTAGTTTCAAATTCTAGCGCACTCGAGCTGATTGAGTAATGAGATCCTCTGGCTGTATTCCTGTAGTTTTACATTTAACATATTTCATCTGTTGCACTCTCTATTAAATATGAGTTAAGGGAAGACTTTATGGTCCAACTGCTTGTTCCTTAGTTTCCTAAAAGAGTAGAAATCTGGATTTATCTTGAATATTTTCACATCTTGTGATTAAGCAGAGGTCATTTATAACCTAATACTTCTACATTTTGGGAGATGCACTTTTTTCACTTGGCAGTTATAATGTGGCATCTCTATTTAGCTAGCATGCTAACATTTGCTTATCAGCACTACACACTGAACAGTTGTGTGTGTACAGGAATTTAATTAGTTTTACAGTCCAATTATGTGTTAGGGGAACGTTAAGGGAAAGACCAAAGTAATTTGAATTCATCTTGTAAATATCATACGAATTCTCCAATCATGAATCCACATATTTTACTTCAAACCACCGAGCGTGAACCTAGTGGTGGTGCTAAAGGACAAGATTGAGGATCGTCAAATTGACTAGGATTTATCTGCGGGGGATCATGAATGTCAGTAGAAAACTAAATGGCAACATGTCCAATCGTTTTTTGGCATATTTGTGTTGACCAATGTGTTGGATTGACTACAATTGCTGACTCGGTAGTCGAAGCTAAAATGACTAAATAATCAAATGTGTGTCATTGTGTTTATCAGCTGTCTTACCTCCAGCTCTAATGACTCAGCAGGCACTTCAGGACTCCGGCTCAACGCCATGGCCTTCTGTCTGGATTCTGCTTTGGGCTCCACCTTCGCAGCTGGTTTGGCCACGATGGCTTCGGCCTCCACTGGCGTTGGTGCTGGTTTAGGTTCAGGAGTCGGTGTAGGTTTTGGGGACGGAGCTGGGCTCGGCTGTCGTTTCGGTAACGGCGTTGTCTCTGCTCTGCTGGCCGGCCTGCATCTTGGATAACCCCGCCCACCCTCTCCACCTGCAGCTGGACAGGCAGGAGCTCCTTCTCCAACCGACTGCTCCGCTGTCACACAGAGAGGGAAAGGAAACCATTCCTGCCTTCTGCAGTAACACTTTTCAACGCCTCACCTCTGGCTGCAGAGAACTCACTGCTGCATAGTTGAGCTCTCCTTCCTGAGAACAACTTGCAATTTTCTGAATATTTTAGTGGGAATGCTGATACAGCATTCCAACTATATGTTATGCTACGGACGAAAAGTTTATTATTATTCCGTCCAATTATTTTGTCCGTCTTCAACATCGCAGAAACTCCGTTCAAACATCAAAATGTTCAGCTCGGTCGGGAATCGACTGCTATTACTTTTATCATTCATAACTTTCATAATTCCAGAGATACATCCCATAATACATCACATTTTTAACCATTGAAGTCAATGGAGAAATTCTTCAGACTTCAACAAATCTTCATGCGACTTCAACTGCTAACTGTTCATTCATACTTTCACTTAGAAACCTCATTCCAACTTTAAAATATTACACATCTTTCTGACATTATTCGTGTAACACAACTTTTAAATCTGATTCTTACTTTTAGAGATATTAAACATTGTTCAGACCTTGTTAAAGAGGTTTTCTTCAGATTTTAACATTAACTAGAGTGCGTGATGTCACAGCTAGAGGGTAAGAAATCTTGAAATATGCCTTCATATTTTTTTTTAAAACTGCCATAATTCCCAAACCCTACATTCCTGAGACATCATTTTTCATGACAAACGTAGGAAAACATCTCATAGCTTGACAAATGACAAATAATGAAGCAAAAATAATTAAACAAAATGCCTCTTGAGGGCATGAAGTGACAAAAACATTCAACATGTCTCCATTAAAGCCCATTGTAATTTCAGGCAGATATTTCCTCACAGCAGCAGCCGCACACCTTTAGTTAAACTGCAAAAAAGGCCACATTATTAACCCGAAAGTACACAAAAATTACACTTCAGATACTCAACTTCCTTGACATGCTTCACATTTTGAAATTTCACAGATATCTGTTATCGTTCTTCCACAAAACGTTCACATGTAAGAGGTTTATCTCTCATTCAGAACAATGAAACTTTGATCTCTTCATAGCTCGTTAGCTCAACTATAAACACCTGTGTAATGGAACACGATGTCATCACTCCAACAGCAGTCAGTTCTAACTGTTTCTTTCTCTCTCTCTCTCTCTCTCTCTCTCTCTCTCTCTCTCTCTCTCTCTCTCTCTCTCTCTCATCTCTCCTCCTCTCTCTCTCTCTCTCTCTCTCTCTCTCTCTCTCTCTCTCTCTCTCTCTCTCTCTCTCTCTCTCTCTTCTCACACCGGTCCATGCCTCAACAGCTCTACGCCAAATCTGAGATCTCACCATAGGCTGTTTCCATGGAAACGCATCCCTCGCCATAAAACACGATGTTGTCGTGATACCTATGCAAATGATCCAAACACCACCAGACTTCAGATGACAGTTAATGGTCCAGCCCTCAACATGTCTATATACCATTAGTGAGTTTTCCTCAAAAGCTGTTGCCATGGCAACGCATCCCTTGCAATAAAACACGATATTGCTATAACTCCTATGAAAATTGTCAAAAAGTGCTAAAACTTCACATGTGTGCTAACAGTCCAGCCGTGAAGACATCTACGGGACAGTTTTGAGATTTCTTCAAATGCTGTTGCCATGGCGACAGACCACTCGCCATGAAACACGATGTCGCTGTAAGTCCAATCGACACTGTCCAATCGTCCCCCAATCTTCACTTGTATATCACCGGTCCATGCCTCAACAGCTCTACGCCAAATCTGAGATCTCACCATATGCCGTTTCCATGGAAACGCATCCCTTCGCCATAAAACATGATGTCGCTATAACTCCTATGAAAATGTTCAAAAAGTGCTCAAACTTCACATGTGTGCTAACAGTCCAGCCGTGAAGACATCTACGGGACATGCCGTTGCCATGGCAACACAATGCCCGCCATGAAACACGGTTTTCTCATAACTTCAGTGAAAATGCTCCAAATGGCCCAAAACTTCACAGGTTTGGTAACACAGCCATCAACGCATCTAAGCGTATTATGGGATGTCATCAAATGCCGTTGGCATGGCGACAGATCATTCGCCATCAAGTTAGTTCAAAAGTTTGCATTTCAAATATTCTGCTGCTTTTCCAAGCCTTTTTACTTTATTTTCTTCTCTCATCACACATTCAAGCCCCCGGTGTTCATGTATCATTTCAATCTAAATTCTTCACTTTCTTCTTACACATTACATTTCAACATAGCAGTTTAGCGTCAGCTTCTCAGCATAAAGCATTCAAACTAGCAATTTCTTCAGGAATTGCATTCTCTAGTTGTAAATGATATGCTCCCATATGTATATGCAGTATAGTATAAGCCTATAAGCGATACATTTTTATTCATTTTCATTTTACTTTTAATTGTTAACTCTATTCCACTTTTTAAGTATTTGTATTTTAATGTTGAAAACACTGGTCCTGTAACAAAATGATTTCCCACATTGGGATTAATAAAGTATCTATCTATCTATCTATCTATCTATCTATCTATCTATCTATCTATCTACACTGTAAGACCGAACATTACAAGCTTCTGAAAGAAAATGGGTTGTTTTAACTCAAACATTTAAAAAAGTTAATTCACCGCTAATGTTTTGATGACTATGAACTGATTTTTAATATTGTGTATACAGTGTTCAACCACTTTGGGTCATATTGGTGATTGTACTCAAACATTTTTACTGAATCTGTCTGACGCTGGTCTGACGTCATCACGTATGTGCTCCGCCCCCGACGTGCGTAGACGTTCTCTCACCCATGCCTTCACCAGAGTCCGCCATTAGCTCCTCGCCTCGGTTGAAATCGCTCATACTTTTAAGAATACTTTCCCCACCTTGCTGATTGCACTCACTGCCGGAATCTTGATCCTTTTTTTGGCCGCACTACTCTGGTGAGTTACGTCTTGCCTTTGCACAGTATTTAAATGATGTTTTATTAATTTCTGCATCTAATGCACTTTGTGTCGCATGGTGTGTTAGTTTGATTTGAGATCTTGTTAGCTAGCCTACATTTAATATCTGCCTTACTTGAAAAATGATTTAACTTACGTGTAAGACAGTATTTCTATATTGTTTTAAGTTATATCTCAAAGTGGAACGTTTGTGTTGCAAAAGTTCTCTTGGAAAATTCGAACCTAAAATGGCGGAAGGCCGCGCGTTTTCTTTCTTCTTTTTTTTTTACTGCATGTCTGGGCATGTTTTATTAACTTAGAGGCATAGAGGATTTACGTTCATTTGATCCACTACAATGTACCATAACCGTGCGTTCTGCATGTTAGTAAAAGCAAGCTAACTTGAAACAATAGACTATTCATTTTACAAGGTAATTTATACCCCCCATCGTTTTCAATTACATGTAACTTAGCAAAGGTAATGATTGCACAGTGATGATACTAATACTTCTAGAGTCTGTGGAATCTCAGCTTTAATCTGATAAGTAATAAAGTATTTCTACCGTGAGTTAGGCATTTTTTCACTCCGGGCTAATTTAGATGCTTCTTGTGAGACTTGTGTTTTGTTTCGGTAAAAATGGTTCGTATCGTCAGTTAGGTGAGTTTCGTTAAGTGGGTATGACACATTAATAGGTTTTTAAATGTTAAGAAGCCCTGAGACAAAGTTCGTGAACAAAAAGCCCTCTGTACCGGTGGCTGCCCGGTTTAACAGATTAATAGTCTAGTGTTTCAAGTTAGCTTGCTTTTTACAAACATTCAGAATGCACGATTATGTTAAAACGTTAGTGGATACAATTAACGTAAATCCTCTATGCCTCCAAGCTAATAAAACATGCACAAGACATGCATGCGGTAACAAAAAAGAAGAAAAGCGAGCGTCCTGCCGCCATTTTCAACCCAGTCTCACGGCATTTCGTGTTATTAGTCACGAAATTAATTTAATCTATTGATTCGTGTTCACCAACACGATTTTAAATGCAATGTATTTCTATTGGTAGTATGTTTCGCCTGCAACACGTCTTTTTGTCCGGTCGGGTCTTGGAAGACCGGAAGCTGTGTGGTTCATAAAAACATGTTCTTACTCAATATCTTACCCTAAGCCTAACCCTATCCCTTTTATTTTAAATTGTATAATGTCTGAGTTTTTTTGCCGTCAGTGAGGAAAAGAAATGGCTCAGAGCCTCAGAATACTGAAATCTGTATTTTATGTCATCTTTTTTTCCTTCTAATTTGTTATTATTTGGTGCAGGCACGAAACATACTACCAATATAAATACATTGCTTCTAAAATCGTTCTGTGTCAGAATACTGAAATCTGTATTTTTTTAAATGTCTTTTTCCTTCTAATTTGATATTATTTACATTGCTTTTAAAATCGTTCTGTGTGACACGAAAAAATTGGCGAAATCGTGTTGGTGAACACGAATCAATAGATTAATTTCGTGACTATAACACGAAATGCCGTGAGACTGTGTTGCCATTTTAGGTTTGAAAATAGTGTTTCTCAGATCATTTTGTGAAAACTTTGCAACCCAGCTAACCTTCAATGTTTTTTCTCTTTAGGAAACTGAAGCAACTGGCAGATATATGGCTTCTTCAATCTGACTCTAACATCAAAAGACCAAAGAGGGCAGAGGTGAATTTCTTGCCTAATTTCCCACTGGGTGAAGATGGTACAAGCCTCGAGCGATTGAGACTCCAAATCGTAGATGAAGTTACGAGGAGTGATAAAAACCTTCCCTTGATTGAAAAGTTAATGCAGACTACCTTTGCCCTGCGGCGCAATGAGATCATCAATGATGAGCTACCTGTTGGAGAGATCCTGGAACGCTGGCCTGCCATGAAAATGGAGTCACAGGTGAAAATATTGTATTTATTACCACTATATAATTATTTTGTGTGCCTTTGTCACTGATAACTTTGACATGTTTACTCAGTTTTAGCATGTTATGTTTGTGTTTATCTCTGCTGCCTTCAGTCCACATCTACATTGTACTGTGAATTAAATAGTCATTTTATATTTTGGCAGATTTGTGCAGAGTTTCACAGGATAACAAACCTCAACCTGAAGAACCACTTCTATGCGGAGTTGGATAGA